TTCTGTACATTTTCTGTTTGGAACAGGAAGGCAATGGGTATGGAGTATTTTGAAGTTTAAACGTTATAATATAGTTGAAGTTGGGGGGCAAGTCTATTAAAAACAGTGATTCACATGAGCCACTTTACTGCTGCAATTTAAAAGTTATTTTAAGATTTTCTAGCCTGTTGGGGGGGGGGGGGCAGGGGCAGGATTTTCCCATTTGTCCAAGTAGTTGTTTAGTCACAATTTCCTTTACCTTTCACAGCTTAAATTCCCATGAGTGAGCGAATGATAGATCTGTAGAAACTGAAAAGCTGTTGTAGCTTTGACTTTCCAAGATAGCTTCTCCAATACAATTTTTTCCATTCTCATCATGTCAGAAACAGTGAACCTATACTGGCTTATTCGAATTAAGTCAGTAGCTAAAGGAACATTTCTTTCCTCTTCTGTTGCTTTCACAGCCAAGTAGAAGCAGCTCAGTCCAACACAGCCTAAGTGTTTAGGCTGTACCTGTGAGTGGAGGGAAAAAAGCCACACTCAACTTCACATACTATAGCTCAACCTTAAAACTTTCATACAAAAAGACTAGATGTCCAAAGCTGTACTTCTTTACCTTGCTTTCCAAAAAGGTAGTAGTGTATTCAGAAGAGTTCATAACATTAGGAAAATGAAGCAAATTTAGTTTACTAGGCTCTGCCATACCAACTTTGATGAAAAGATCAGGTCAGTCCAGTGCTCTTCAAGAGTGTTGGCAGAGTCAGATATTTTGAAGGAAGATTTAAGAAGTTGTTTTGTGGAGAGTTATGCAATGGAACAATGGAAGAAGTTTACTCTAGTGCACTGGCAAATTACCACATGCCTGGAAGCATGGATTTAACTGAGATGACTGGGAGGTGAGCTACAGTTTAAAGATGGTCTCAAGAATTTAAGAAGTCTCTTAAGAAAAATATAGAAAGCATTTAAGTCTAAATCTTCTAACCTCTTTCTGGTTTAGGAATATGCAGGCTTTGTGATATGCTAAAACTGTCTCAAGTGCAAGTTTGAAGATGCTGCTTTCATCTGCTACAGCACTATGGATCACTAATCAGGGATGCCATAAGTTTAAAGGAGAGATGACTTCTTTTAGTATAAAGAAGATTCAGGCTAGTTAGTGCTACTAGTTATGAGTTCAGAGTACACCCATCCCTTCTTTCCCACATGCCCAACCAACATCTAGAAAATACCTTATAATCAGCCAAGGTCTCCACCAGTACTTTACAGATTTGAAGTATTATAGCATACTCAAGTGCATTTGATAAGTGTAGATAATGGATTGGGAGTGACATTGTTACACATATCAAATGGAGCACATAAGCCACTTGAGTGCATAGGAACTCTTGGTGCTGCCACCCACTTTGTAACTTCATTGGTTTCATAAACTCTGCACTCCTACAGTTAAGGCCTGATCATTTCAGGGTTGCCATTAGGGGCTCAGAGGCAGTGGTACTCACTCAACTTTCTTAACAGATGAGCAGTGTCTAGTCCCTCCGCAGGCCAGAGCCATCCAGTGGACCCAGTCCAGAGCCCAGGACACACGTAGCCGGGCCCCACCTAGCCACACACAGGGGCATAGGGCCAGCTCAGCTCTGATCCAGCTGCACAGGGGCAGACAGCTTGGCCTAGCCTCAACCCAGCTGGGGAGGGAGGGGGCAGGAGGCATGACCCAGACTCAAATCCAGCTCCACTGAGACTTAGGGGGCATGGTCTGATTCCAACCTGGCTGGCGGTGGCAGAGGAAAGGGGGCATGGCCCTGAACCAGCACCCTAGGACTAGGAGGCACAGCCTGGCTGGGCAGACGAAGCGCACGGCCCGCCCCTACCGACGGAGAGCGGGGTGGGGGTGGGGGTGACCTCTGCGGGGGGAGGCGCCCCAAGGAGCCCTACCTTCATCCTGGCCAGGAAGCGGTCGAGGCAGTTGACAGCCAGGGAGAAGGTGTCGGAGCGGAGGCCGAAGAACTGGGTGAGGCTGAGCAGGTCCTTCACCTCGAAGTCGCGCAGGTGGGCGCTCACGCGCAGCCCCGTGTCGTGGGCGCCCTCGACGAGGCGCAGGCC